TCCTCTTCCTCCTCCTCCTCTTCCTCCTCCGACCCCCTCCCCGTCCCAGAGCCCACAGCCGAGCGGGCAGCTCCGGAGCAACAACAAATGGCACCTCTGTCCCTTTATCAAGACACACCATTATGTGAAGATCCATATAGAAATATGGATTGACAGACTTGACAAAAATGGTAGCTGATTTTTATTAGTCTAAGGCTAGTAGTTTAGCCATTTAAAATCCATTTCCCAAAAGAGGGGAAAAAAACCTATTATTTTTCTCTTCTTTAAAAATCCGTTAAGCCGTTGCTGCCAAAAGCAACATGTAAATGTTGGTGAAGGCAAAAGATTCCTAAAATTACCCAGCTATATGGTTATGGCCTTCATCACAAAGATAAAAGGTACATTTATTGTGCTGTCTCTCACCAGATTTAATTGGTAACTTTACAACATACTATATATTTGATGCTAGCAGGCAGACAGAATTAAAAACAGACTTTTTGACACTGTTTCTTTCCCCGTTCTTACAAAGTAGGGGACAAAGAAAAAGTAAAATTAAAAAATAAAATAAAATAAAATAAAGGAAAACTCATAACCCACTATAACACAGCGTAATCAGGAGACCTCAGGGGGTCCAAGCGTGAAAGTCCGTCCCTGCCCGCAGCCCCCGCCCCGGGGCTGACGGCGCTGGGGGAGCGGTGTTCCTCGGGGCCCTCCTCATCTGCCTCTACAGTGTTAGTCCACGTGTTTTATGTCCTTTAAATTAGAAATAATGCCATGGCGGTGAGTGCCAAGTGCTCCTCTGTTACCAGTTCATCATGGAGTTTCTGTTGAGGGTCATGAAAAACACTTGGCTGCTTCCTCCGGATCTCACCGACGCGAAAAATACCTGTTTGGAAGCAGAATAAAAACTTATTAGTAGCTTCTGTTATTAGAAGAAAAAGCCTGTTGATTGCCTCGGCGAGCAAGGCAAGCAGGAGCTGCTCCCCAGCCCGTGGTTCCCTCTGCCTAAACCTCCCTCCCTGCTCCTTTTCTCCGGCTGGCAGCAGAAATTTTACACGGACCCGTTGCCCCGTTGACAGTTTTCCGCGGAGTCCAGAGGCCGGAGCTCACCCATGCCAGACTCGGATCAAATCGAACCCCTTATTAGTAAACACAGTAATAAAACCTCCCTCGCTATCACTCCTGAAGAGAGCAAGGTTTGGAACGCCTTGAAAATACCACGTTTATCGCGTTCTACTGCCACGACACCATTTATTACGCAATATTAATAAGGCTGCTGTCAGTGGTTTGGATCTTGCTAAATGTTAACCGTTCGGGTCAATATCTGCCTCGGTTTGAAGTGGTTTTCTCTGGGAAGGTTAGACCTGGTATTTCAGCTTTTTCTGAAAGTAAAGCTCAGGAAAACGACTTCCTTTCAATATGCTCAAAGCACAGAAACTAGTGAGGACTTTGCATGGAAAAATATGATTTTTGGTGCTTCCGTCAGGATCCACCAGCATTTGACCCCAACGGAAGTCTTAAAAAATAAGTTATAATTTGCCAATATTGCACAGTCTGAAGCCTCTGTGCTTCCGAAACTCAGAGATTATTCCATCTTCACATGGCTTTCATTGTTAACCATTTCTCCAGAAAGAGAAACATCTCGTTTTAGTATTTCAAACCCACCAGTGATCAGTTGGTACCAGTATTTTAGAAAGACTGAGGTGTTTTTTCCCCCAGTTTTCTTAGAAAAGGAAAAAAAAAAAAATCAATCAATAGGAACAAACCAGACAAAGAAATCTTTAGAAAAACAGTATAAAACCTGCCGGATCAAGTACTCGAAAGTTAGGAAAAAAGCAAACTTCGGGCAGCCTAAATTCAGCTTCTTGGGCAGTTTCCCATGGTAAAACTCAACTGCAAGGTTGGGAGATATTTCTCCTGCAGAGCTCCAGCCTAACTCCACGCAACAGGTAGAGCAACGCTGGACTAACAAGCAGCTGTTTGATAAACTGATTGTGGCCTCAACCCTTATTTACTGCGCGTTATTAAACCCTGCTCTGGGGACAGCAATCAGTTTCTCCACGTGTTTCATGATCGTGCTCGTTATGAAAAGACTCCCTGCTGCATCGCCCTGATCTATCTCGGTGAAACCTTGCGAGATGAAGAAATACCAACAGCAGAAACAGACCTTGGCATTCAGCCGTCTCTTTCAAGCAAATACTCCTTTTCCTCCAGTAATTTCTCCTTCCCTCATTCCCTGCACCCTTCACCCATCAGCAACACCCATGGTTGCATTCTGCATCCGGCTCGGTATTTATCCAGGGTGGTATTTATCAGCGTGGTCCACAGAAAAAGATGGGGCTCCATGGAGAAAGTAGCTGAAGATGCGTCAAAACGCATCTGAAAACGCGTCAAAATGTTTCTGCACTAGAGCTCAAATAGGGGTCACTTACACATCCCTACTGCCACCGTTTCTCAACTTTTGCAGAGATTACTCCGTAGCCTCAATAACACCGAGATGCAAAATTTGGGACAAAGTCAAGCCAAGAGCCGAGCGAGAGGTGGAAGAGGTATTGCTGATCTTCCCACCACAGCCTGAGGTCTGCATCCACTGGAAAGAATTAATTGGGAGTGGGTTTATGGACTCTGCTTATTAAACAGGACCTTCAGATTAATTATTAACCTCAAGATAAATCAGACTTAAATTCTAAGAGGAGTTCGTAGCTTCAAGCACGGACACAAGCTTTGAAGTGGACTTACCTTATCGTTTCTTTCACATAGAAACTTTAACCTTTGAGCTCGCTTGTGCATAAATACTCCATCCAAATGTCCCGTCTCCACTGACCGGATTTCAATAGCTTTCTCTCCCCAGCCCATTATTTGATTGGAATGAATGTAGGCTGTCAAAAGGAAGCGTTTGGTAGGTGTTACAACGTGTGCTGAGCTAAGTATTACGCAAGGGGCAGAAAAGCTCTCATCAGCTGTTTCTGGAAGCCTGTGTAAATCAATGGCAGAGCTCTGACTGCCGGAGGCGCAGGTGGCCAGGCATGTGCCCACGGGGATGCCAGCCTTTACAGAGCACTTTTCGTCCCAAAATTGCTGAGTAATTTAAACAGAAGTAGCACCACTTCTTCCAGTTTCTTTGGGTGAGGAGCTGGGTGGTTGCTTGCCTCCGTGGGTTGCGGAGCTGAGCAACAGCAGAGCCACAAGAGCAAGTCCCAGCTCCGCACCCAGCCCCTCTTCCACTCCACGCAGCACCCCCCCAAGCGCAACAGCTTGCATTATTTTATACTTAAGATAAACTGGAGCTGCAATCTTTGAGAAGATGCTTGCTTTTAATCATTACGGAGGAGCAAACTGAAAAAATTTTAACAGCTGCATCTCTCATCTGGCTGAGAGAAATCTCCTTTCATAAACAAAAGCCCAGATGAGCCCATCTCAGCGCTCTCGACTCCCCACCTTACTCGTCACTTGTATTTTAAGCAGATGAAGGGAAGGGTTGACCTACCCACAGAAGTAGGCATTTCTCCCCACTGGAGCACCACGTCTTTAGTTATCCGTCCATAGGTGTTCACGTACACACCTTCATCCTCATAGCACACGAGCATCTCCATCCCGTCTGTTTTAGGCAGGATGACAATGGCGTGAGGAGTAATATTGCCCTGAATCTGCAGTTAAAATAAACCCTGAAAGTCAGAATTACATTGAAGGGGTAGGGAGCAAAGCCTTAGAAAAACAAAACCCCAAAGCAACCTGAGAACAAACCCCTCCCTCTGTTCACCAAACAGACACTGGCTTTCAGAGATAAACTTGGAGGGGAATAACCTGTCACATTTACCCAAAGCTGCCTAATACCTCAAGGATAAACAGGTTTAGCAATTACAGGGAGATCACAGCACGTACGCCCCCAAGTCGGATGCCTGACACTTGGCTGTAACACAAACAAGCAACTGATGACTTGATGAATCCATCTCCTATTCTAATCAAGCCAAATAAATGCAGAATATTACAGGTAGCCCTAGGGAGGAAATACAATTTTTAGCAGTCTCTAGCTCCATGGGCAGCTACAGTAACTTTCCACCCACGTCTACCTTTCTGTAGTGAAGACAACACAAAACCATCCCAAACTGCCCCAGTATTTTCCCCTGCGCTTCTGGCCAGCTCTCGCAGAGGAGGCTCTGCTGCTCAGATGACATTCAGCAGTTCCTGGATGTGATTAGTGACACGGTTTCTCCTAAACCAGCTTCTCATGCTGCTTGGGCCAAGAGCACAGACAGAGCTTAAATGAGCCAACAAGAAAATTGTCTACTACAGGGTTTTGGTTTTTTTTATTTCTCTCTTGAAATAGCTGAGGGACCTGAGAGATGTCCTGTGGTGAGTCCCTGCTGTCAGGGGTTTGGGAGTTCTGAGCAGCAGGCTTACTGACATTTAGGCTCCCCTAATCCTACGGCTTTCACCTGGGCAAACTGTGCTGGAACAAGTGTGGTGAGAACACCTGGGACACCACGCAATGGGACAGTGCGCTCGGCATCCTTTTCTCCTGGATCTACGCGTCCAACAACCAAGAACCTGGTTTCAGGGTATCTCGCCCTACAGAGAGCCCCATTGCTGCTCCACACAGACAGATTGAGGTGGGACATGGCAACCTTACACCTGACTGCTCGGGCACGAGAACAGAAACAGCCTGGACGAATAATGAATGTAAAGATACTTCTGACTCCTCTTTCAGCGAGCATCAATGAGGATGACACTGGAAAATGTCAGACCCGTGGCACCTGGCGTGTCACCGTTTCTGAGCCACTGCCAGCCCGTCCAACCCTTGCTGGTGACCTGCGTTAGTCATGCAGCAGCACTGCCCCAGGTACTCACATGAGATGGTATATAGATATCGTAAGAGTTCCCAGAATCTACATCGATCACGTGAAACCCAGTGTGTGATCCAAAGATAACCTTGAGTCTCTGACCCTCTTCTACAGTGAGATCCACGAGCAACGGCTTGTGCTGGAGATCTGCAAAAGACTTTTATAATCCCTTCAGTGAGCATCACAGAAAACCAACAAATCCCCATAGCAGCAGCCTGACACGGTTTTGAAATCATGTTTTCTTGACTGTTTCCTGCTAAATGGGTGGTTATTTCTATTCCTGTCTCTCTGTTCCTATGTCAGACTCGTTCCAGCCATCCCAGCAGATAAGCCCTCACCCTTGCCAAGCAGAGCTCTTTTCTGCCAGGAGCCAGCCTGAGGATTTGGTCTCTAAAGGAAGGCAACAGCTTCATTTTAGACGAGCCTGTGTATGTGGGGATCCCACACCGGTCTGCAGAGAGCTGTGACCACCCACCGCCCCTCTCAGCAGGGATCACAGCTCCAGTTTGGGCAGCTGAAACGAGTCAATTAAAGACTGACTTTTCTCTGTCCAATCTAACCTGCTGGATGCAGGCTGGGACCAGGACAGAGTATCTCTCCATGGCTTAGGTCCTCAGCAAGAGGATAAAATACTCCCAGCGAGAGAAAAGGGACCACGCTGACTCCTGACAGGGGAACAAAATCAGGGGGTGTATTCCCCACTCTTCCAGCAGGCAAGGAAGGGATGCTCGGCCCCTCCGGACTGGAGGAGCAGCACCTGGAGCACCAACCAGCATCCTCACCAGAGCCCGTGGAGGCTGTTTTAATGCTGCTGAGCTCTCCATGTCACCGAGCCCATTTACTCTGGCTTTTGTTCAGAAAAAAGCAAATGTGACCTAATACTGAATAAACTCATTCATACTGGAAGGATGCAAAATGAGATTACTCAGCATGAGCGTCTCCAGAAGGCATTGCCCCTTGTGACTTGTCTCTGCACAGCGCTTAGGATGAAAAGTGCTTTAAAGGACTAAGTACAAAATACCCATTGGCAGGTTATAGAGGAGAAAGGTCTCACTGGAGGAAACTGAGGTAGATGAAAAGGGAGAGAAAAAGGGAGAGAAAGAGTGGGTCATTCTCCTGGATTTTCTGTCCTGAAACAGAACCTGCACTGCAGAAGGAGACAAGACATTGCAAAACAGAAAATGGAAAATAATGCAAACTTGTTTTTATACTGTATGTGAAAAATTAGTCAGAAGGTAAAAAAACAACAAACCAAACCAAACCACGCTCACCGAACCCCCGGTTTTACTCACGGGGCATTTTGTCAGCTTTCTGCAAACTTCCCAAGTAGAACCTGCCAGCATAAGCTAATATTAACACTCAATTGTTAGGCACAACCAGAACGTATCCTGTCTCCCGTGCCTGCCAGGCGTCCCAAGGAGCTCATCTACATAGGCAAGACATTCTTCTGCTCTGCCTAGTACAGAAATCTTATGTACCTACAACTACAGAGTGTATTTTGTTTCAAGGTGAACATACCTTAAATGCCATAAACTTGTGATATGGTTTAGGAGCCCAAGCGTAGATCTCTACAGCATTCTTTAAGGCAATCACCAGGAACTTGATTCTTTCATATTTCACTAAAATGAAAATAAAACTGAGTTTAAAAACATTCAGTTTCCTTCCAACAAGACTTAACAACTCATCTCCAGGAAGGGCTTCTCAGGCTGTCTCTCCGTTGGTTCTCATTTGGTAAAACGTGCACCTAATGCACACAGATGAATTCCCAATTTATTTGTGGCTATATCCATAGGAATCTTCAGGTCAGATATAAGTCAAGGAAACAAAGATGCATCTCTTCAGACATCTCTTTTCCAGAGGGGCAACTCACCGACTTTGTAGTGGATGCATCCCTCTAGGTCCCCGACTGTGATCCAGCCCTGCTTCTTCTCCACCTCAGGGTCGTTGTGTAAAATCCTGTTCCTCAGCCAGGAGAGATAGTACACACGCAGCTTGTTCTTCTTTCCTGTTGGCAAAGGAAACTTCCCTGTCAGAGCAGAGCATGTGTGTGCAGGGAATCGGGATTGCAGTGCTTATTTTCACTCACAAGAGGTAAAATTAAAGTTCGTTTTACAATGAAGTTGAAAATAGTAATTTAGTAGTCACATTGTTTTTTGTTCCTTGGGTGATTCTCGCCATCTACTCTGCTCTCCTGAGACCCCACCTGTACTTCTGTGTTCAGCTCTGGGGCTCCCAACATAAAAGGGACATGGACCTATTGGGAGAGAATCCAGAGGAGGCCACAAAGATGATCAAGGGGCTGCAGCACCTCCCTGATGAGGACAGGCTGAGGGAGTTGGGGTAGTTCAGCCTGGAGAAGAGAAGGCTCCAGGGAGACCTTAGAGCCGCCTGCCAGTACTTCAAGGGGGCTGCAGGAAAGATGGGGAAGGACTCTTTGTCAGGGAGTGTAGTGACAGGACAAGGGGTAATGGCTTTAAACTGAAAGAGGGTAGATTTAGATTAGACAAAGTTCTTTCCTGTGAGGGTGGTGAGACACTGAATGGGTTTTCCAGAGAAGTTGTGGAAGCATTGCTAGAAATCAACCCAGGAGCCTGATCTGAGAGCTCCCAGGTGAGCCTGGAGACAGGAACAAGCCCATGGCCTTCAAGATGCTCGGGGCACCCTGAGCACAGCCATGCTCTGAGCTGGGCCCTGACGCCGTGGTTCATGGCTCCTTCAGCTAAAGCCAAACAGACCCAAAAGCAGAGCTCGCTGCCCTCTGAAGCCACGACAACCTGCCTTGCTGGGGCACCTGCCTGTATCCTGCACCTTGCCCTCCTGCTAAAGGAGGATGGAGCGCTGCAGATGAAGCGGAGCCAGCAGGCAATGGGACCAGACTGCTCTCGGAGGCGTTCTTGCAGATCTAACAGCTTCAATTCTGGAATAAACCACCTCCAGCTCCCCTGGGAGATTCACTCTGACACTGGTCAGCAGGTTTGGTCTGAGCTAGAACTGTTCAGGGCGTACAGTCGAGAAGGTGAATGATGGGGTGACAGCACGAGAGGCGTACCTGATATTGTCACGAGGACATTAAGGCCCTCGAGTACGTCCATCTGTTGAAATCGCCGTCTGTTGATGAGGTTGTAGACCTTCCCTTGCCCACTTCGATCCAGCAGCATCAGGCCATTTTCTGTGCCCACCAGCAGATTCACACCTGGAGAGGAGAGGGCAATGGGTGCCAGGAGCCATGGGTGCTCCCAAGGACAACACCCCGAGCTCATCTCTGCTGCCACCGCGACAGTGACCGATCCCAGCCAAGGCTGCGATCTTCTCATGAACGTGAAGGGTCACTCTTAAGGCAAAGGGACTGGGGGCCGTTAGCCTTGCCTGGGAATGGAGACAGGGACAACCAGAAGCAAGGGCTCGGTTCTGTGATGAGACATTGGCATTTCATCACCGGCCACGGGCTCCCGGGAGCTCTGCCGAGGACACGGCCTGCTCGGGCCTTACCCCATAAAGCAGCACAGAGTATCTCCGAGTTGAAGCGCTTCTTGTATTTCCGTATCTCCGGGGTGTCGCTGTGGGGACGGATGTTGGTGGGGTTGACGTTCACCACCGAGATCTTTCGGGCTTCGTTCAGCTTGGCCTGCTCCTGTCTGAGCAGCTCGCTGGTGAACAGGGCTTGCAAGGAAACACAACAAGACGGGGAGGTGTGAGGGATGAACTCCTCTGTCACCTCTTTTTTGGGACAGGATGACAATACTTGGTTTATTTGCTGATAAGGGAGCCATCATTATGTTACAAGGTATGAGTATGGAGAAGGATGATCAGGATTTTCTCCTGAGTTGGAACCAACACCAAACCCATCAGCAGGTGATGTCCCCAAACCTCCAGCCCTACCTACTGAGCTGACCAGCACTAGTCACTGCCTGCCTGCCTGCCCACATCCAGCCATTTTCAATGACCTCAGAGCCACTGCCAGATTTTTGGAGCCGTTACCACCTGCCACCTCTGCAAGGAACATTTACCCTGGCTGCCCAGGCAGCTGGACAAGTGGATATCTCCCCGTTTTCTCCCAGACTGTTCTGGTGGGGAGAAGAAATTGGGTGGACATTGGAGAGCACAAGGATGCAGACACAAGATGTGTTTGGACAAGGGTAAGCAAAATGGGTTCAGAGGGGTTATTCAGGCTTCACAACATGGTTTCTGCGAGGTCCTTCCCCCTCAAACTGACCACATTGCCTCCTACCAGTAGCAGATGACTCTTCGTCCTCATCTTCATCTTCATCAGTAGGAGAGGTCTGATAAACTCTGGTGTCCACAAAGGGGGTGAAAGAGGCTTTGGTGCTACTTCCCATACCGTACTGGAAAATAAACAGCAGAGAACTCAGAGCACAGAAATAACAATAATTTTGTGTGTAAGAATTTCTAATTAGCAGACACAGTGCACACTCCTGTGGTGTATTCTCAAGCCTTCTATGAGCATCTGCTCCTACTCCTCCTCCCCCACATATCTAATCAGGAAAAACATTAAATTGGATTTGGGCAACAGAAAATGAGAGGAGCAGGGCCCAGCTCCGCTCTCTCCTCGCAGGCAGAAGCACAGCACAGCCATGAGACCGGTTAGCGGAGAAGCCGCAGGGCCAGAGGCAAAAGTCGACGCAGGTAAAAATCCAGCTTGTCTGCATGTAACACACCTGCCTTAAAACACCCGTTCTGGGATGCTGGGCAGGTGAGGGTTTGCTTTCCCCACTCTCCCAACCAAGGTTGGCAGGACGGTGCTGGGAGCCCCCAGAAAGCCCTGGCCTGGGGCAGCTGACAGGGACCAGAGTAATTCAGAGAGCTGAGAAGGTGGGAATGTTCTTTTCCTCGTGTCAAAGCCATAATTAGCACAGCCTGAGCAAAGATTTTATTTCAGTGGGTCACGGAAATGTATTTTAGGACCTGAAAAGCTTAGGCAGCACAGCTCGTGCAGCCATAATACCATTCTGCTTTTACTGAAAGCCCAAAATATTGATGCCCCTGGCAAAGGAGGAGAAGTCAGCTCTCTAGCAGAGCACCTACTTGTTGTTCTGCTGGGCTGTTATCACTGGTCCTCACACCCACTGCTGAGGCAGGACCCAGCAACACCCCTCAGCAGGCCTGGCTGCTCCGGTTTTGGGAGGACCTGAAGTGCTGGATGTGAAGAAGGCTTGGCGTTGCTTGCAATTTCAGTCAAATGTTTTAAATTCAAGGTGGTTCTGTGGAAAAGGGCCATTTCTAAGCTAACAAAACTTAACCCGAAGGTATCGCAGGGCATGCCAGAGCCGGCACTTTGCCAAGGGAATTTGGGGAGGAACAACCAGCAACATCACGTTGTTTTTTCTTTTTAAAGCCATTGCTTTATTAAGGCAGAAAACGAGGCTAAGACCTTCTGCCAAGCAAAAGGAACGTTGTCTTGGGAGTCAAGGTGAAATGATTTCCCCCCTCCCTCACTGAGCAGCACCATCCGTACCGAGACTGGGCTGCGCTGGGCTTGTACTTGTCCTCCAGCCACAAAAAGATTTAGGGGCAAAACCCCACTGGATGCGGGAGCTCTCTTGTGACTCGGGACTTTCCAAGCGTTTCGGGGCTGGCATCCATGGGTGAGCCGAGATCCGTGCCCTGCGCCTGCCAAAACCAACGCGGTGCATCCCGCTTCTTCCCTCCCATCCCTATTCCCCTGACGGTCACCTGTTTCCATAGAAACGGGATGGATTTCCAAAAAGTACACGGTAACTGAGACCCACGGAAGGAGTTAACAGCCTGCACCACATTTACACACACGGCCATATTTGTGCGTGCATGTAAGATACATCCTCACTCCTCTGTGCCTCTTTCCTATCCAAGAACTGCACATTTTTTTCACTGGGATGGCTATCTTATCCATTAACCACCAACAATTCGAGGAGGAGAAAAATTCAGCATTTACAGGGATGCTTTCCGACAAATTACGAAGAAACCCTCATCCCGATGCACCGAGCACTTCTTTTCTTTGCTCAGACTCAGCCGTAATCCCCCAAAGCTGACATTTTACTAACTTCCAAGCCCATTATTTAAAAACTAAGACCTAATTTTCCCCCAGGTCCTGTTCAACCTCCTATAAACCTCTGTGGTGGCTTACAGAGACAGCATCAAGCTGCAAGTGAGGTCGCGCTTGCTCCCTTCTTTTTTCCTCGCGGCACCGTGAGTCACCTGGAAGCCTGCGAAGTAAATCCCCAAGTTTCCACTTACATCCGCCCCCGGCTCTGTCAGCCCTAAAAATGCAGTTTTAGAAACGGGAAAGATCGTCTTGGCTGGTATTCTATAAATGAATGTATGTCAACCTGGTCCTTGCCCGCGTTTAAGCAGTCCCAGGATGACCGCGGAAGGTGTTACTTTCAGGATCAACTCCCTCATCGCTGCTTGTGAAGGCATCGAGGAAACAGATAAAACCTTGAGATCAAGCCATGCACCATCTGTTCCTACATTTTATCCATGCCCAATTCCAAGCCATTTTTATACTGCTAGTAAAAGTACACCGGAAAATGACTACATCCTGTCGATGAAAGAGAATATGACTGAATTTTTGATGTATGACCAGGAAAATGAAAGGACAAAAAAATGAATAAAATAGCTTATTTAGCACCAAATCGGCTGATTTCTCACGGGAGAAGAGAGAACTGTGCCTGCTCCCCAGAGCTGGTGATGGTAAGCAGGACACATCCCATCTTGTATTTTCTAGGACTTTTTACACCTTATTCAATGCTAATGTTCAATTGTGTCCCTGCGAAACAGCTACTGGGGAGAAATACGTTGCCATGACAGGAAATACACAGTTTTAAAGGTGAGTAGTTATTTTTCTAGTCTGAAGAACTACCCAGAATTTTGTTGGCTTTGGATTTTGCTGACCTTCCAAGTTAAGTATCAGAGATTGCACAGGTAGAAGCTGGGCCCAGGTAAAGCTAATGGCATCGCTGGCTCTCATAATTTTCTTCTATTCCCAAGTGTCAAAAAAAAAAAAAAAAAGGGACTTTCACATCAGTTGGCAGCATTCAAGCCATCACCATCACAGCTCCAGCTGGTGGGCTTGAGAGAAGACCTAATGCATATTCCTGCCATCAGTCACAGACCCAGGGAGCGATAACTCATCAGACTCCCTCCTGTTCCCACTACACTCACTCAGGCGGACCCCAGAGAGACAGAGAAGAGTCAAGAAAGCCAGGGAGGAAAGGAGGAAAGCCCCATTGCGGGGCAGAGATGTTAATATTTGTTTAAAGCGATGCAAAGGAGACCCTCCCCTCCTCCCCACCACCTACTTCAGGCACCGAGTCCATGTCCTGCGCATGCGTGGAGACTCGCCCCAGGGCCTCGGTCGGCGTGCCCGCCGGCGAGTGGCTTTGCTGCACCAGGTCAGGCAGATTGATGTGACCTGCAAAGCCATTGCTGGCTGCGTGGCCAGAACGCTTTTTTTCACCAGAGGTCTGCAGAGACACAAGGTATGAGGAAGAAAGAGAAGGGGGGAGGAAAAAAAAAAAAAGAGAAATAGAAGAAGAAAAAAACCAACCAACCAAAACCAAGTTCTTGGCAGTCCCCCAGTTCCCAGAGCAAGCGCAGGAGAAGGACCCTCTCTGTTTCCATCCCCATGCAATCTGGCAAGCAGCAAACCAACCCCCCCCACCCCAGGAGAAATAAAGACAGGATTAATCACAAAGTCAATACAGAGTAATTAGCCACGTTACAGCGAGAGAAGCCTGATCACCGTCATTTTGAGGCAAGGAGAGGAAGGCAGATTCTGCTCTCGCCACCATGGGCGCAAACCCCATGGCCAGCTCTCCTCCCACATGGCCGTCGGTGACAGCAGAATCCGACCCCTCGATCAGCGTCAGCCTTAACGGCTCTGCAGGGCTGCGGCAGCGAGCAGCCCGACTGCAAATGCCAACACAGCCCCCGTCGCATGTTTCTGTAACCCAAAACAGCAGTGAACAGCGGCAGCGTCGGCAGAACGACCGGCATCTCGCTCTGCTCACGAGGTTCCCTGTGTTTCTGCGAGGTTCCCCTTCCTCTCCATCCCCACCTCATGCAAGGCAGGTGCTGGGAAGTTTCTCCCTTCCTGGCTTCTTGATGTTATTTGCCATTTTGATGAATCCCACCTACCCGGAGCATGCCAACGAGACCGTTACAGAGACTTGCCCATTTACTGGGATTAGTGGAAAACTCCCTCTCAACAGGTTCATCAAGTTTCTGACCAGTCCTGACAACATTGTCCTTTTCATCACTTCTTACCATCACCTTCAACCATCTCAACATCCCACCAAAGAGCGAAAAGCCCTTTGCCCAAAGTCCAAAGGCCTCAAGATGGCTACGGCGGTGCTGGGGAGCAAACAGCAAGCACCCAGTGCCAGGCTGCAGTCTGGGTTTCTTTCTCCCTCCTCCCAAAAGGGTTTCCCAGCTTCTTGTTTCACCTGTGGCCTTTAAGACCCTTCTGCACCACCGGATTTCTCCTACAGCCTTGTTGGCGCAGCACGTGTCTTACAGTGGTGATTTGCTCCAAGCTCATTTCAGAAATGCCCATTAGAGCAGGGACTTGTCCTCCCGCTCGGACTCATCACCCTCCCTGCCGTGGAGGGATGCCCAGGCTGCAGAGACCCCTGCTCTGACCAGCCCCAGGGTAGTGAGGGATGAGGGGGGCATTGCTGCAAAGCTCAGGGAGAAAGGCAGCAAACTCCTTGCTAACTCCTTCCTCTCTTTCAAAGTTGCATTCTTTTTTTTTTCCCTCTCCCTTCATATGTGAATATTTCATATAAACAGAATTAGAATTAAAATGCTGCTTCAGCCTAGCTTGCATTTCATCTAAACATTCCTCCTTTCGGCTGCTGATGCCAAACTCCCCTCTGTCTCTCTCCTCTCCCATCCACCTCCTTTACATGCTGGTAGGAGAGTGACTTCTACGTTTTACCAAGTGCCAGAGCCTTCTGCCCCCTCTGAAGGAGAACTGCTACCCCTCTGAGTTTCCAGCAGCATCACGAGTACGTTCCAGCAACTGGGAAAACCAGAAACACTGAGAGGGATCTTCCACAGCCAACCAAATGTGCCTCCTCTGCACTACGACCCACCGGGCTTGCTCTCGCCACAGCTTCACCTATGCAACGCTGGTAAAAACCGCCAAACGCTCTACGAACATCACACGCCTCTGATGGTTGGCAAAGGTTGGGACGAAAAGGGGAAACTTTGGGCCAGGTTCCACGGGTATTAAACTAAATGCTGTCAATTGAAGACAACTTCTGCTGCCCGGAGCTACCGCAGGCTTAGAGCAGAGTCCTTGGTACAAGTATCCTCCCCGCCGCGCCCAGGCGTTACTATTCACTGCTGTTTGTAGTTGTGAGAAACATTTGCACTTGTCACATTTGCTCTGAGTGTAAATTGTATTAACGAGAGCGCTAACGAGCACAATTTACTCAGTCATTTTGTGTTCCGGACACACAGCACTGTTAGCTTTTGTGCTTACATGGGCAAAACCTCCTGAAGATGCTCCATGGAAATATTTGTTTTACAACTTACCTCCCTCACCATTAAAGTCCCTTCCCTTGAAATATTGCTAAACGTATCTGCATGGGAAGTCTCGAGCCCGTGGGTTGTCACCATTCCCAGGTTGTACGGCTCATTGCTTCCAGGAATTCCTGTTGGTCTGAGGACAGAATGGAAAAGCATTAGTGATGAACATCTTCTAGGCTAAACTACACACACAAAAAATCCTCTAATAGTGTATTATTTCAATCAGGGTAGGGCCTTCTATCTCATGATTTGCCTTGAATTTATTTCTGTGCTCCTGTCTCAAGAAGCAGGCTGGAATTTACTCTCACCCACAAGAAATTTTAGGACTGCCTCAGAGTGGATGTTGCAGGTGGCGAGCAGCCACCATGAGTACTACTATGTTCTTAGCAGAGCAGCTGCTTAAATATAATTCAAACAAAACCAAAAGCAAATGACGAAATGCCTCTGGATTACCCAGCCCTGCCTGTGCGCTGGAAAATGCTGATGGTCGTTACGAAGACGTTGCTGAGGAGACCTGTTCCTTGGCATTTAAAAGCTACACAGACCAGCTGCTTTCCATCAGTCTGAAGTAATCCACTCTTTAAACACGTCATGCCCGTGCACACCTACCTGTCAATGCCCAGAGGCTCACTGGTAGCAATTATTCCAGTTTTAGAAACGAGAAAGCAGAGACCAAGAGGTTTATGTTAATTTTGAGACCATACAGTGAGTGAATGACTGCCTCTGGTAGCTCCGAGGTCCCAAATTTCACAGGTGCGCAGTTTAAACGTCACCCTGCAAGAAATGCCTGGGCACAGGCAGGAGCTGGCTTGCACAGCTCAGAGGTGAGGGAGATGAAGGGAGTCAACATAGTCTTCAGGTGGAGAAAAGGTATCTCCAGGGGTGGAAGGAGGAAACAGTCCATCCTGTTCACTGCGACACCCAGTGATGGATGGGCTTATCCCGCAGCGGGAGAGACCGGGACAGAGCTGAAATGAAGAGCAGCCCAGCGCTCAGGGAAGTTTAGAAATGGGTTATAGAGAGAACACTTGGAAGGTGCAGAAGAAGATGTGACGACGTCTCTCAGCCTCAGTTTCTAATGAAACACACCGAACACAGGAAAAATAAAGCTTTGACAGAAAAATGCCCAACGACATCTAGTCTGAACTTGAGTTCAGGTGCCTTTTGTGAAATAAGGGTGTAAAGCCAAGCGTTTGCTTTCTTTTTCCCCAGCACAAAGCGGTGCAGCCACGCCTGCAGATACCCACAAAGGCTTAGGTACGGACAGAGCTCCCGCCACCTCAAGGCTTTCCATCTCCATGGTCAGTCACTGGGGCGCCTTCATTGACAGGACGTTATGGGACAAGTAGTGCCGAGCTGGCAGTGGGTCAGGGGCATCCGTCTCACCGCCACCACCCGCCTTCCATCTGGCTGCAAAGCACTCCGTGAGGTATTCTACCCACTGAAAAGCGCTGTGTCAAACCCAAGGTGTTTCGTGGAAGGATGTCTGCAGAGACTAACCACTCCTGATTAAACTCCTCTTCTGCGAGCAGCCTGAGGCCCCTTCTCGCACACGTGACTGCCCATCTGACCACTGCATATTCGCTGCTGTCCCTCTGTCTCTTCACTTTCTCCAACAAATCCCAAGAGCTCTGATTTTTGATTCTTCTGCTGGAAGGAAGTTCCACCCCAAGAGCCTGGCACTCTGCAGAACATGAACCCCACGGGTCTCCTTGCCACCTGGAGGGTTTCCTGACCGCTCCATGCCCCACCACTACGAAGCCAGGTACACTAATAATTCGTTTAAAAGGAAGAATGGAAATGAACGGAATAGAACGCAAATACTGCTCCACAGGTGGCAGCTGTTTGGTGTGTGTTGAAGACATGGTGCCCTACTCCCTCATCTAGAGACGTTCAAAAGCAAAAGTGTCCCAAGTGTCCTGTGACCTATAACGGGGACACAAGAGTATTGTCTGCTATTTTTTTTTGTTTCAATGTTTTAGCCCACCACAATTTGCTGCCTGCATGGTCACTGAGCCAAGGACAAAAATCAAAGGATTCAGGATTATTATTAATTCTGGCTCTACCAAGTTGGCACTGGGCAGGCCACCAAGTACTGCGCTACAGCACGGCCTGATCCTGATCCAGAACTAGACGATCTTTAAGGACCCTTCCAACCCAAACCATTCTATGATTGATTTGGGGCAAGGCCATGCTCATGAGCCGGCAAAGCTTTAACACACCAACCCTGTGGCTGGGACCCAAGGTGTGGATGAGGTCAGGTGTGTCCACTCTGGCCAAAAGCCTGCCTTGCTCCTCAGCA